CTCACTCGCCTCCGCCTTTGCTGTCCCCACCCGCCCGCAGCCTGCCAGGCGGGCGGCCCAGTCAGCCCCATCTCTAAGCGCCGGTAGCCTCAGCCTGGGCGCGCTGGGCACGCGGGAAGCTGCGGAGTGAGTGGACCCGAGCGGGTGGTCAGGCGCTTGCCTGCCCGGTGCCATCGCCTTCGCCGCGGTCACCGCCACTGCTCCGGAGCGCAAGACCAGGTATCCCGGGCGCCCGCCACTGCCGCTGATGCGGCCCGAGCACTTTTAACGGGCGGGAGGGCCAGAGAGCCGTGCCGCAGACCACAGCGAGAGAGCCGCGCAGCTTAGAGCGGCGCAGACACGCAGCGAGCAGGGACAGACGGCCGCCAGCCGCCGCCGCCCGCCCGGCCGCTATGGATCTATTCGACTTTTTCAGGGATTGGGACTTGGAACAGCAGTGGTAGGTGTTATAATTTGCCTTCTCTTTTGATGAGCGGGATCCCCTAGTCTGGTCTGGGCTTTTCGCCTTTGTTAAGAAGAGCCAGAGCTGTTGTGGGGGGTGCCCCGGACACCCTCCCACTTGCTTCCAGACACCTCTAGCTTTGGCTTCAGTGACTCCTTGGTGGGGAGCTAGGATGGGGGAGGTGCAGGGACGGGGAGGGATGCCGGCAAAAGCATCCCTTTGCACTCCAAGTCTTAAGAGTTGCAGCTGGCCCATAGCAGATTTCGTGCCACCCACCCGCACGACCTCGGGGGCTTCTCTCGCCAGTGGATCACTGGGCAGGATCCAGTCTGAAATGCTTTAACTTTCCAGTTGTCAGTGCCTGCAGCCAGTGGCGGGAGAAAAAGCGACAGCCAGGTACTCAGAGGTTACCCTCAGTTTGCTTAGCGGCCACCGCCCACACACTGTCGTCACCTCCATCCCCACCCGGAAAGGCATGGGTCCAAAACCTACCCTAAAGCCTACCTAACCTATGTTCCTCTTCTCAGAGCAGCGTCTTCAGGGGCCACTGCACTAGGGACCTATGGCCCAGTTGCCTTTAGCGCTAGGCTTTTTTGAAGTTGTCCCCTGAAGTCTGTAGCTCCCAAATCAATGCACATTTAATTAGCCTCTGAACCCCTGTTGGCCTCCCACTGGGAGGCAACCTTATGTTTGTGTAATGGGAACACAGCTAGAATTCCAAGGTTTAACAAAATATCCTAAAGTTGCAGTGGAGAGCTTTTTAAAGATGGTGCAAAGGTGACTGGGGGAGGAGGGCAGAAAGTTGTTCCTCTGTGTGGTGTGCAGGCGCGCATACATACTGATCCTCGGATCTATTAACTTTAGAAAAACTTCACCCTTTACTACAAACGTTATCGTCCTTTATTTGTGCCATTTTTTTTTTTAATTTTCCCCCAAGCCCGAGTATTTAGATGAAGAAGGAGGCAGGCTCGGCGCTGAGACTTCGAATGGCACTCTTAGCTCTTGCCCTTTAAATGCGATGAGAATAAGCTGTAGTGCCCATCAACAGTTTGAAATCTTTTCCAAGGTTCAAACTACAAGCTGCTGGCTATGAATGCTGTACATTTTTTGGTAGGGATTTTCATTGTCAATGTCATGTTTAAGGCAATTTTCTTCTTTAAAAAGGGTCAGAGGCTTGGTCAATAGCTTCATGCCACTCATGACTGCTTCGGTTGCAAACCAAAGATCCCTTACATTTTATTTTATAGCAATTCTAAATAAATGTTTAAATATATCAATATTAATTTATAGATGTTTTCAAAACTGTGGAATTTTATCGGCTATGAGGAAAACATGTTACAACTAAATAATCTATTCTTATGAAAAGTATTTAAAAAATCTTGAAATTGCTGCTCAATTTAATGTTGTATTCCTGTATACAACCTATACTCTGCTATAGTAATGTATTTTCCTGACAACTGATAACCACAGCATTATTATTTATGTATAATTTGTCTAATATGTGCATTAGGTAACACCTACTTTAACAGACATTGTTATAACTGATTTCAGGGGTTAGCTGAAATTTTAAACGTATACTAGGCATTATGTTCCAGAATACATCACACACATACATTATTGCTTTAATTCTAGTTGAATGTTATATATGCATAGTTGAGTATTTAAAGGGGTTGTGAACGTTTCTGCTTAATTTCTGGTTTTCAGGAACATATGTCCCTCTTCCCCTTTAGAGATAATATCTATTCTTAAGGAAAATACAAAATCATTTTCCTTCTCATCTGTAACTGTGTCACATCCATTTTCGAGCATGCTGACCGATTTGACAATTTGGTAGATGTGAAGAAAAATACTGAGGAAATAGTATAAACCTGCCTTTTCTTTCTGTATCCATGATCCAGGACAATTTCTTTTACCTATTTGAATGTGAGGGGCAAGTTTTCTCATGAATCTATGTCTATAAATATTTGTGGTATGGTTGTGCTTCTATATTTTAAGCACCTACAAAGAGAAAGGAAACATGAATATGACCACGGTGTGTGAACTTGATATTGTTTTTAATGATAATCTATGTAACCTTCAAAACACTTTGGACATCATGAGAATACTAGTTATATGTTTGTTATATGTTTATTTCCATTTCATGAAATAACTGGAGACTTAAAGTGATAGTAGACACTGCCCCAAGTGTGTAGAAAGACAGACAAGAGGAAAAGGCGTGAAAATTAAGGAGCTCATTTGCATTAAACCTATTCACTTGTAGAACAGCAAGCTTGGAACTATGTCTATGGTAACTCTACCTAAATTTCTATCAATAAATACATCAGGAAAGGTAAAAAATATTAAGTGAAAACAACCCATTTTCCTAAGCTTAATGAAGAATGGCTGCACAGAAGCAAGTGTATGCATTATTTACAAACACTCGGCTATGGTAAATAAAAATAAATGCCCATTGATAAACAAGCTTGTGTTAGGACAAATGTTCACTCAAAAGATCGGGTATGAATGATGCTGTGGTGTGCAGATATATGCAGTACCTGGGAGTGCTCATGTGCCTTTCAGAATGTATCACTGTTTTTTTTTTTTTTTTTTTTTTTTACAATCTACAATGGTATCTTAATGGGTCATGCTCTGGACTCAATTAAAGGGTGAAAGCTCAAGTTCTTTAAGATTCTTGGATGCATACAGTGTTCACCTGAGTTGGAGTTTAATATGAACCATTCTGTGAAAGAAAAGAAAGGCACAGATGTTTCTGCCTGCCAAATACATTATCTTATCTTTTTAAAAGAAGTAATAAAGACATAGGAGAGGGACGAAGCATAGTTCAGGCTTTAAATCATTCCATAGATTTGTCCTTGTTAATAAATGAATTCTTGAGGTATCTGGAGATAGTGTGGCTAGATTTGGACTCCTTTATCAGCAATGTCAAAGTCATTAATTTAAATGTAAAAGTTTACAAAATGTACAGATTTTCTATTCCTAGAGCATCTAACTCCATAGCATTAAGTCCTGTTATTGTGGTATGCAAACTTCTTTTTTTGTGAGGCAGTTACATTTTTATTTAAAAATAAAATGTGTGTGGGGAGGAATATAAAAAAAAACAAACTTTAAGAGCAGAAAAGTAAAAAGTTTCATGATATCAAACCTCAAATATTAAAAATACCGAGGAAATAAGTTGCGAAGTGATTATGACAGTGGCCTGATTCTCACTGCAAAGGACTGCATCAGTTGTTTGTAGATTTTATGTGATGTCTCACAAGTAGTCTAATTAGAGGCAAGCTTGAAACGGGCAGTTATACAGGAAGAGATTTAAACTCACTAAACTGTTATATAAATAGAAAGTTCAAAGGTCTCTGTGAGGCTGTCAAGCCTGAGAAGGGGCCATGTGCCATCCAGGCTTCTTCTATTTGAATGAAGGCAGCCCCCAGGACCTGCTCCAGCAGCAAACACTTTCCCAAGGTTTCTGGACCTCGTGTGGGCTGGAGGAGGGGACCTGCTTTCCAGACAAAAGTGAACTGTTCCAGCTCCAGCCAGGCATGGCCTGCATCACAGCAGCCCATCTGCTTCGACCCACTCCCGTGGTCCACAAGGTCCTCTGGGGCTTCCTTAGCTATAGTCTACCAGAGGAGTGGAACAGGATTGTTTGTGGATGGGAAAGTGTGGGAAATAGGAGTATAAACTTCATCATGCTGGGTCTACTAGAACACCGCGGGGAGGGAAAAGTGTCTCATTTTCTTTAAGGCCTGGTGGTTCACAGAACTCCTGTTCTCTGCTGTCATCCATTGATCTTTTTCTCTTTATACTCTGTGGTGAATTAAAAAGAAACTCTAAAGTTCATGTTTTTACCTAGTGTTATGTGCATCTCTGGTATGTGTTAGTATTCACTCAGCAAATCATTTTGGATACAGTGTTTTAACAAGATGTATGAGAAGGAGAGATTGAAAGTGGTAATGCTTTATATTGAAAAGATCCACTCTACAACCTCCAGATATCCAGCAAAAAAAGTTGTCTGAGTAAATCTTAAAAGTTATATCTATTGGACAAAGAAGGAAATAATTTTATGTTAGAAATCAGTTTAATGATACATGAATTGTTTTGTTTATGATCCGGTCAAGGACTTAACAACTTTAAAATATACAAATCATGAAAGAAAATGACTGACTCAAGAATGAATCAGTCATTCTAGTCATTTATGACCTTCCAAACATTTTATCGATGAATCAAATTATATTGCATTCAAATATGTTAATTAATGTTACATGGAAATGGTTTAAATGCATTGAACTATCGTTTTATGTCAATTGTCCTTAGATGTGACTATTTTTGTGTGCATTATTTTCACATGTTTCACGTAATTTCAAAATTCTACAAATCCAATGAAACGACCACCTGTAGAACAATATAGAAGCTGTTTTTCTAAGAACTTGTAACTCCAGGTCATACTTCAAAGTGATCAATCGTCATATACTAGATTAACCTCTCTTGTAGACAAAACAGTTCAGTGATTACATTTTTCCCTTTTAATTTTGTCTTTTTGTGGTTGCTATGAGATAGAGGAAGAACAACGTAAAAAAGCCACATTCACTGATAAATGCAAAAACTCTGTGCTTCATATTAATGAAGTCAAGAATTGAACTTGAAGAACTTATTTTGAGGACATGTGCATGTGCATGCATTTGTATGTGTGTTTCAAGCTGCAGTGGGGCTCAGGCTCACCATTTCTCTTGTGGTTCGAGTAGTCATTCACGTTGGGAGGCTCTCTACTCCAAACTCTGAATACTCAACCTCGCCTAATCTTTTCAACAACTTTCTGCAGTATCCTGTCCTAAGATGATAGTTATTTTCAGGAATGCCAGCTACTTAGTAAGCAGGTCAGGTTTCACCCTAGATGGAGCAAACCCCAAGAACAATTTGGCAGAATATTTTCAGCAAGTTCATTACTATTCCATATAACGTGTCCGTTTTTATCATTTTGGGTGGGATATTGTCACAGTTGTTCT